TAGGAATATTGAAATTTATTTCAAAATAAAAAACTAAAAAATGTTTACAACTTCTGTATATTCTGAAGATATTTAATGCATACATAACTTACTGTTTTATGTTCTCATATGCCCCCTTTAAGACACAGAGGGTGCATATGGTTCTGTGCTTTGCCTTTTCACTTAATAGTTCATATTTGAGATCAGTTCATATTGTTACATAATGAGTTTACTCATTTTTTTTTTTTAAGCAATATAATGTTCCATTATGGGGATATCCTGTAGTTTATTTAATTAGGCTCTTATTGATGGACATTTAGGTTTTTTACCAATATTTTAGAATGGAAGATTTTGATAGTACTAAAAGATGAGAATTGAAAAAGTGAAGTTTTATTAGTGGAAGACTTGGAAGAACCTAGTTTTAGGACTGAGAAACTAAATATGCATTTCTACACATAACGCACCAGAGTGTGTTCTCATGCATTAAAATATCGTAATATTTTACTGCCTCTAACTGAGGCTGAGATGTTGATAGAGAAACCACAAAGAAATGTCTATCTTGCCAGCTTATCATTTTCTTCCTCTGCCTCATTAAAGATCACTTTATCTCATTAACTCAACATGCATGAGAAGAAACACATGTTGATGCTAAATGTATGTAAATTGATATGGATGGTTCAAATATTTTAACATCATAGATAGGGATCCTACTTTTGGCGATTTTTATTTTCGTTGTTATCCAGGACAGTCTTTTAAAGCATCTGTTGTTTTTAAATTTATATATGGGTTTTGCAGTGTACCCACTGGACACATAGTTAATACTCGGTAACCGTATTTTTAATTAATTTATTGATTTTTTTCCTCTTCTTCCAGGAATGCGCTTGGCTCTAGCTGATGCTGGTGACACTGTTGAAGATGCCAACTTTGTGGAAACCATGGCAGATGCAGGTATTCTCCGTCTGTACACCTGGGTGGAATGGGTGAAAGAAATGCTTGCCAACTGGAACAGCCTAAGAAGTGGTCCTGCCAACACTTTCAATGATAGAGTTTTTGCCAGGTAATCTGTGGATCCCAACCACTTTATATTGTAGAGTTGCTTAGTCCTGGTGCGTTTTTAAGTTTTTTTTTTTTCCTAAAATAAATTAGATGGTAATAGCTAGTATTCAGTGAAGGCTTACTTGTGCCAGGCACTTTGCTCAATATTTTGCATGTGTTTTCTGACTTTAGCCTCAAAGAAACCTTATATGATAAAGATATTCTTAGCTTAATTAATTAATTAATTAAGAGACAGGGTCTCGCTCTGTTGCCCAGGCTGGAGTGCAGTGGCATGATCCTAGCTCACTGTAACCTCAAACTCCTAGATATAAGTGATCCTACCAAGTAGCTGGGACTTGAGTTGTGTGCCACCACACCTGGCTAATTTTTTTTAATGTGTTTGGTAGAGATGGGGTCTTGCTATATTGCCCAGGTTGATCTCAAATTCATGGCCTCAGAGGATCCTCCTGCCTCAGCCTCTCAAAGCACTGGGATCATAGGCATGAGCCACCACTGCTGGCAGATTAGCTCTATTTTACAAATAAAGAAACTGAGGCTTAGAAAAATTAAGTATTTCATTAAATGCCTCCAAGTTAGTAATTGGATACTTGGGATATGAACTTACTTCTGTCTCCATAGCTTGTTCTCATAACCATTTTATCATGCTGTCTTTCTTTAGAGTGGGGCAGAATGATTAAAGGAAAAGTAGATTAAAAGAAAAGGAAAAATATCTTTTTTTTTTCCTCCATTCAAAAGACATTAATTGACCTCTTTGTGTCAGGAGCCATCCTAAGCACTGGTATTACAAAGATGAATTAAGACATGATACTTCCTTGTTATCTAGCAAGAGAGACAATCACTTACCCAACCAATTATTAATATAAATACAATAATAAGGATAAAGAGAATCCAAAGATACCCTGTGAATTCTGGGTTTCTTGAAAAATAAACAGGAGTTTTTCAGGGAGAGAAGAAAATGTGTAAAAGTCATGGAAAGGGTATGATATTTATGTGAAGTGCTGTATCTGGAGGATAGAGGTGGGAGATGAAACACGTTGGGGCCAGATTGAGCCAAATTAAGAAGGGCCCTGCGAATTGTTTGAGCTCAGGAGTTTGAGACCAGCCTGAGCAAGAGCGAGACCCCGTCTCTACTAAAAATAGAAAGAAATTAATCGGCCAACTAAAAATATATAGAAAAAAATTAGCTGGGCATGGTGGCGCGTGCCTGTAATCCCAGCTACTAGGGAGGCTGAGGCAGTAGGATTGCTTGAGTCCAGGAGTTTGAGGTTGCTGTGAGCTAGGCTGACGCCACGGCACTCACTCTAGCCTGGGCACAAAGCCTGAGACTCTGTCTCAAAAAAAAAAAAAAAAAAAAAAGAAGGGCCCTGGTATGAGAAATATTTTCCCTAATATCTGCTATTAGTTATTTAAAATGTAATGGTTAAAACCTGGCTACAACCTTAGTTAAGCTACTTTCATATTGCATTTTGGGCTTTATAACAAAGTTTTCATCAAGGAATTTTTAAGCAAGCATCGTTTACTGTGTTATCATAAACAGAAGTCATAAGCATTGTCAGATGACAATACTTAAGGCTGGATAGACAACTGACAGACTGTGATAATCAGTTTTAAGGAACACAAAGATGATGATGTGTTGAGCAATTTTAAATGTTTCAGGCATTTTTCTCGTTTTACTGCTTAGTAGTATATGCAGCAGCCTTTTATACCTATATATAATTGCCTTTAAACTCAATGACCTTTTTTTGCTTATTCAATAGTGAAATGAATGCAGGAATTATAAAAACAGATCAAAACTATGAAAAGATGATGTTTAAAGAAGCTTTGAAAACAGGATTTTTTGAGTTTCAGGTAGGCTATTCTTTTGGTAGGTATAAAGCATGCCAGTGTGAGTATGATGTATTTTCTTCCTTTTTTCTTCTTGCTATCAAATAATTACTTGTCTAAAGTGTAGACTGTGAAAATTCTGCCAAAAAATCTTTAAATTCTTCATTAAATTGTGGTTTTAAGTTGTTTTCTTTTCTATTTTTTCTATTGAGTCCTTTTAATATAAATAATTCTATTCCTAGTTAAGCTGTGAGCATTAATGTAAAGGAGATTAAATCTAAAATTCAGCCATACTTTCCAGGAAAACATTTTTAAATTGATAAAAACAAAGGCAAAATTGTAATTAATTGCCATTAGTTTGAAAGCAAATGTTTTCTGAGGTTTTCCACAAGGTGTCAGTATTTCCTCAAGTTTGGCATTTCAAGTGCTTAAAGTAAAAATATAGCTTTACTCAATCAGCTTTGTAAAATATCACATTGGGATTTATGTAACTTGGTTTTTAGAGATGTGGTTAAATAAGGATAAGTGCTGAGCTTAGCAATGTGTTGTATTTATAGCCTTTTTGATACTTAATATTTTTCTTACATGCTGCTCAGAGCATTCACCCTAGTACACAGTTAAAATTGTTCAAATTTTATGTCTCAGTTACAAAATATCTTTGAAAAATTTTTTTTCTTGAGAATCGTTAATATAAAACTGCAGTATCCTTTGAACAAAGATACATACTTAATTCCAAATTCTTAAAAATAAATAAAAACTTTACAGTAATTCATTATGGAATTTTAAAACACTAAACACTTAAAAATGCATTAAAGCCAAGATACTGAAATCTTTTTACTTTATTTTTATTTTAAAGAAGTAAGGTGAGGGAAATGGTAATTAATTTCGAATTTTACAGGCAGCAAAAGATAAGTACCGTGAATTGGCCATAGAAGGGATGCACAGAGAACTTGTGTTCCAGTTTATTGAAGTTCAGACACTTCTCTTGGCTCCATTCTGTCCACATGTGTGTGAGCATGTCTGGACACTCCTGGGAAAGGTACCTTTATGCATCTCAAATGTTATGAATGGTTTTGCTTTTGGCTGCAATGTGATATCGTTACCTAAGAGAAAAAGACTGAAAATGAGTATTTCAGGAATAATGTTGATTCATCATCATCATCATCATCATCATCACAACAAGTTAACCCAGAGCTGCCTCCTGTTTAGATGGCTGTATCGTGTGTGTGTGTGTGTATGTGTGTGTGTGTGTGTGTGTGTATATCTATCTTTATATACACACAGTATATTTATTTTGAAAAGGTCGAAATACTGAGAAAGATATAAACAACTGTTAAGAGCTGCTTACAAAGATAGAAGTGTATATTTGCATAAATATTCTTATTTTATATAAAACTTCAGGCATATATAGGACCTCATATTCAGAGATATTATATTAGCATTTTTATTGTGAAGATAAATTCAATTATTTCTCTCAGGCTTGCAGATAAATAGATTGGCTGGTTTAATAACTCCTTTCCAACCTTATCAGCCAGGCTCTTTTGTATTTTTAAATGCATGAACAATGCAGAAATGTGCTGCTGATCTATATACCAAATAGCTATACTTTCAATACTGGATGTATTAACAGGATAAAAACTGAGGGTATGCATAATTTATATAATAATGATTAAATTTAGGCAAATTAGCATTACATAATTTTCTTTGAAAGTGAGCATATGTGTGTGGGTATTAATATGCTTGTACAAATGGATGCTAATTAAGAATGTAGAGTCAGACTTCACAGCTTGAATTCTAGGGAACATTAGATCAGGGGCTGTGGAAGTGTGTTATGTGTAGTCAGGTTTGAACTTTGAGCACACAATTACAGATGGTAGCCTTGGTATGAAACTGCAATCAAGAATCATAAAATAGTTGTGTTGTCTAATCGAACTGCACCTTTTTTTGATTTTGTTTTTTTTAAAAGCCTGATTCAATTATGAATGCTTCATGGCCTGTGGCAGGTCCTGTGGATGAAGCCTTGATACGTTCTTCACAGTATCTCATGGAGGTAGCACATGACCTTAGACTACGACTCAAGAACTATATGATGCCAGCTAAAGGGAAGGTAAAGTCATTTTAAAAAAAAAAAATTTCTTAGAAGTTATTGGTCAACATTTAATAATAATGAAAATTTTAAAAAGACTTTCATTAAAATGTGTAGGGCTAAATGTCCTGCTAATATAGTTCTATAGTATGTATATTTTTAAATGTTAGAAGCAGTGGTGGTATATATTGGAGGCTTCTCACTTTTGGTTTACATAAAAGCACTGAAATGTTTTTCCCTTTCCTTTTACTATGTAGAAGACTGACAAACAACCACCTCAGAAGCCCTCACATTGCACCATCTATGTGGCGAAGAACTATCCACCTTGGCAACATACCACCCTGTCAGTTCTACGCAACCACTTTGAGGTGATGCTCTCAGTAGACTTTTCCCCCCCAACAGTGTTGTATATTGCCTGTGTTGCTTTTGTTTTTAGGATGTTGACAGTATCTGGGGAAAGGAAGACAGGCAGCTTTGTTTCATTCCCTCTAGGCAGGGAGTGTCCTTTGTTATCCCTGGTGGCTCATAAATGGACACTGAGGGAAAAGCTGCTGTTTTTTCATCAGTTCTGAAACTTTCATACAAAAATACATTGGATCTAGTTGTATGTAATTAAAAGATGTGGGGATTTTCATATGTGTAGTTGAAATTATGAAACAGTTTGATAACAGGATAGAGTTTGATAACAGAATAGAGTTTGCCTTTTGAGTTGGTTGTGACTTGAACAGTGGGATTCATGAAATATTTTTTTTTTTTTTTTCTGAGACAGAGTCTCACTGTGTTGCCCGGGCTAGAGTGCCGTGGCGCCAGCCTAGCTCACAGCAACCTCAAACTCCTGGGCTCAAGCCATCCTCCTGCCTCAGCCTCCCGAGTAGCTGGGACTACAGGCATGC